TTGCGAGACCGTAGGTCGAGTAATTTTGATGTGCTGAATATATGTACTTATTTCGAAAAAAACCTCGTATGAATAGCAAAAAAAATTTAGTTTCATTAGACTCTTTGAAAGAATAATAACTTCACACAAATTGGGCGATATTTTTTGGGCGGTTCATTTTTCAAATTTGGCGCGCTCGGGTTTCAAAAAGTTGGTAGCTCTGCTCTGAAAGAAACGCACCGTGTACTTAACCTCTTGGGTGGTGAGGAAACAAGTACAGCATTCAAAATCGAAATTGATTGATCATAAATTATTAACATGGATTAATTGATGAATTCATCGATTAATTGAATAATGGATATCCACCGTTTCGTGATAAATATTTTTAAAGTCCTTAAATATCAGATTTGGGGACCCCTAATACACATATTATTTCCGAAACTCGCCACTACAGAAAACTTACGCAACATTTGTAATTTGGTAAGGGCACTTGTGCCTTAACGAGGGTACTTTAGCGAGAATATTCTAGGAACATATTTTATAGGAAATATCCTCTGTCAGCAAGCTATAAATATAACGGGAAACCAATTAGATAGCCCGTTTCATTATAAAAGATAAATTTATACGCATATTTGGAGATAGTTAGGGGCAGTTTATTGAAATTAACAGAATATGATGTCATTCAATCAGCTCTTGGGCCTAAACGGCTCACTTCAGCAAAAATATACTGAGAACATTTCTTGTAGAAAATTTCTTCATCTTAAATTTTTATGTCCTCATATTCTTTCTAAAAACGCACCGTTTTGGAGATATTATCAAAAAACCGTTTTTGAGCGCCATCTTGGCAAATGGCGGCGCCGGCAGCATGTCCCGGAATGTGCATTTTGTGAATTTTAGTTCTGGACACCCAAAACTATAATCCTACAAAGTTTCAAAACTTCCGGACTTTTTTCCAGGTAAAAATCCCCAATGACTGGCCTATATAGATATTACCCTTACCCATAATATACTTCATCATATACTATCATCAGTCCGCTTCTGCGGACTTGCAACAAATAATCTGCCAGTTTGTAATTGATCTAAAGATTATCTAAATTTATTTTCAATTATTACTGACGTCCATGTGAGGGGTCAACGTGCAATACTAGACCACACGCACACGTAATATAATATAAACAAACTGATTGACAAATAATTATTATTTTGTTTAAATAACTAAATGAAAATGAATGTACTCTTCAACTCTTCTTTGATTTTCTGAGGGAATCTATTTATGTTGCAGTTTTCAACTTTGAATGTTAATGATTTTTAAATGTCAAACATAGCTATGATAATGTGTATGGAATTGCACACATCATAACATATTATGATGATCGGTGGACCTTACAAATGAGGTTCCACATGACCTCTGTTTGTATTTGAAGGAATTGTCCATCACGTCATCACTACAACACCGATGACGTAACAACTCTCATTATGAATATAAGTATCACGAGATGGGGATTCAAAAATTAAAACGTTCACGTGTTTCTGAATTCTTCTGGAATGCCGCACATTATTGAAATAATGAATGTATTCCATACATTTGCATCATAACTATACAAAGGTTCGAACCAAAATGAACTGATGGACAAATGAAGTTGTCCTCTCGTATATTTGACCCTCTTTCAAAATCAAATATTTTGAAAACCACGCGTATGATCCAAAAACAGTTCATTCTATGTTGTGAATTCATTTGTAATAATACCTAGTACTCTTTTCCTTTTGGGTTCAAGAGCGATATCTGTAGGGCATCAACAAGAAACAATAATATTTTCAAAGTCATTCCTATTACTATTGTTTTTTCAGGAGCATTATTATCGTGATTTAGAATAGAATAGAATAGAAAATATTTATTTCTGAAACATATTACATGTTGTAGAAATTTGGTCACGTTATAATTCATTCAAATATAAATTCATTATCTATAAGATATTAATCTATAGGAAGTACTATCTATATATAAGACCTAACCTAACCTGCTAAATAAATTAACAATAAAGCTATTCTATCTATGAGTATCCTATCAGTCACAGTGCATTCATGTACTATATTTAAAGGTTTTTTTTTTCATGTAATTACATTCATGATCATTTATAAGTCGTTATCTTCCATATATTCATTCACACTGTAATATATAACATTTTTCAATTAATAATTTACTAATTCGTTTTTTGAACACTGATACACTCAAGCTTCTGTAAGATATTGGTAGTTTATTATAGAATTTAGCACCAACAAACATTGCACTTTTCTGATAGAGAGCTGTATTGTTCTGCGGGAGCAAAATAGTGTTATTATTTTGTCTCGTGTGTTTGCATTTGAGAAGTTGAATTCTTGTTTATTTCTATGCACAAATAATGATATTTCTAGAATATATAGGCTTGGTAAGGTTAAAATATTCAGTGTTATAAAATGTGGGCGACACGATTCTCTCATTTGATGGCCAAGCATTATGCGGACTGCATATTTTTGAATTATTATGAATAATTTTTGGCAGTTAGTCGAAGATCCCCAATAAATTACACTATATCGAAGTCTTGATACAAAATTTGCCTCATACACAAGGATGGAGTCAACGACGACATTTTCCAATTTGACAGTTTGAAATTTGATTATTTCACCGTTCGAGGGCACTGGGACGAAATAGCGCAGGACAAAATAGCGCGGACAAAAGAGCGCAGGACAAAATAGCGCAGGGACGAAATAGCGCAGAGACGAAATAGCGCAGAGACGAAATAGCGCAGGGTCATAATAGCGCAGAGACGAAATAGCGCAGAGACAAAATAGCGCGCGAAAATGGAGTGCAGGATCTATGATTAGGTTTGTTCGTTTGTTAGAGTGAAGACTCATTCTTAAAATACAAGGTGTTTCAAAATGAGTCTATACCCTAGCAAACAAACTAACCTAATCATAGGTCTACTTTAACAATCCAACGGCATACCTAGTATTAAGTTACTTCGTTTGTAAGGGTAGTCTCCTTTTGAAACATCTAGTATTTGAAGAAATAGTCTATGCCCTGACAAACGAATTAACGTAATCATAGATGATGCACTACGTTTTCGCGCTCAAATTTGTCTCTGCGCTATTTCGTCTCTGCGCTATTTTGTCTCTGCGCTATTTTGTCTCTGCGCTATTATGTCCCTGCGCTATTATGACCCTGCGCTATTATGTCCCTGCGCTATTTTGTCCGCGCTATTTCGTCCTGCGCTATTTTGTCCGCGCTATTTCGTCCTGCGCTATTTTGTCCTGCGCTATTTCGTCCCAGTGCCCCGTTCGAGAGTCGAGTACTGTATACAGGGTGTCCGCTAAAAGGAGGTCAATCCATTAACCATATATTCCTTGAACAAAAACAATATGAGTTTCTAGATACCATTTTTCATTTAAGCCCTTTATATTCGATATGTACAGAGTGTCAAAGTTGGTAATTAAAAACTGTTCTTTTTTTGATTACCCGCGTATTTAATAAGATATCAATCTCAAAATTGGTACATTACTTCAGCACGGAGAGTTACATCGTGTGAGGAAAACAAAACAGAAAAAAACTGTCAAATATTCAAAATACTGGGGGTCAAGTACACACTTACCCCCATATTTTTTTTGTACGTGCGCTAATGACTTCCTATCTATTTTTCTTCAAGTGTTAAATTATTTTTGAGTATTTTTTGTTTCCTGTTAAATTTCGATAAAATTATTTGTTTTTAAGATAATTCGAAAAGTACTGGTTATTGTTTGATGCCAATGCGGTTTACGGTAATCTCATAATGTTCACATATTCCTATTTATTTCGTCGAAATTGGAAGAGGGCGTAACTTTTACGTACGTTAAGATAAATATGGAAATACCAGGTGATCAGAGCAAATGTATTAGAATAATTTTCACGAAAAAAAAAATAGATAGAAATTCAACACGTTTAAATAAACTGCTGGATATGACCTTCAACTCTTTGAATACACAAGCGAGCCCTTTTAATTGGGGAAAATCTTATTTTTTTCTAATCGGTTTGAGCGGTTTTGGGGGTTGAGGAATTTTTTAAAAATACTTTCGCGTCCATCCCCCCCGTATGGTATGTCGGGCGCGAACGAACGAGAAATAAAATCGGAAAAAATTTAAAAAATATATTTTCCGAAATTTTAGGTGATGAAAAAAATAGCAGATCAGGATTGTCTGAGGATGTATGAAAGATTTTGTGTATAAGCCACATATTTTTCAAAGGCTAAGATTGTCTTTAATCAAAAGACTCGCATGTGTATTCAAAAAATTAGAGGTCATATCGAGCAATTCAATTAGACGTGTTGAATTTCTATTATTTTTTTTTGTAAAAATTATTTCATTACATTCGCTCTGAGCACCCGGTATTTCCATATTTACCTCTTCGTACGTAAAAAGTTATGCCCTCTTCCAATTTCGACGAAATATAGGATTATGTGAACATTATGAGATTACCGTATAAGCCGCATATAGGCATCCAACAATAACCAGTACTTTTCGAATTATCTTAAAAACAAATAATTTTATCGAAATTTCACAAAAGACAAAAAATACTCAAAAATGATAGAACATTTGAAGCAAAATAAATTGGAAGTCATTAGCGCACGTACAAAAAAAATATGGGGGTGTGTGTACTTGACCCCCAGTATTCTGAATATTTGACATTTATTTCCTGTTTTGTTTTCCTCACACGATGTATCTCTTTGTGCTGAAGTGATGTACCAATTTTAAGATTGATATCTCACTAAATACGCGAGTAATTAAAAAAAACAGTTTTAAATTTCCAACTTTGACACCCTGTATATCGAATATCAAGGGCTAAAATGAAAAATGGTATTCAGAAACTCATATTGTTTTTGTTCAAGGAATATATGGTTAATGGATTGACCTCCTTTTAGCGGACACCCTGTATTATGGGACCAAACTGTCACCTATTGGTGTGATCACTAATTTCAAGAATTTATAAAACCTCTATTGAAAAATATACTCACATCATAGTATCTGTAGATACAATCGATATAAATACACAAAATTTCAAATAATTATTGACACAAATGAAAGATGATATATTGATTGACAGAGAATACCGATACTGATATAGAGAGAATTATCTTTGGAATAGCTTTCAAAATAAACTGATCTTACAATGAATGACCGCTCGATTGCTTCCTTATCAATGCAGTTGTGCGAGTTCATTCTTCTTATCAGTTAATTACAATTTTTTCATTAATTCATCAGAATAAAATTTGAGCGATTCGGTTAGTGAACGCCAACACCTGCAAGTGACTAAATAGGTACACCCACATTTTGCATTCTCAATGCTTATTTACGTATTGACTTGAACAACAATCATATACCCAGCGAGCACAAACATCCCTGGGATGTTTTGGGATGTTTTGAAAATGTTGGCATGAAGATGTTATTTTGAGACGTAATATGCACTGACCAAAGGGGTCTTTGAACGATATTAAAGTATTGTTTTTGTTCTTCTGTGGCATTTCTTTGTTTGCCTACTGAGAGGTATCCCTGGGATGTTTTGGGATGTTTTAGAAATGTAGGCATGAGGATGTTTTTTTGAGGCGTAATATATGCACTACCCAAAGAGGTCTTAGAAGGATATTGAAAGTATTGTTTTTGTTCTTTTGTGCCCTTTCTTTGTTTGCCCCACCACAACGTCTCATGCTTACGTCACAATACGATGAATTCTGATTTGTTTTCGATTTTGTTCTTCTTGTTCGCAATTGGCATTCGCGTTTGGAGCGTGTCACGCTTACATCACGCTGCTAACGAACAGAAAGGAATTTGGTGAAGTTTATTGTGTTAGAAGACTCATTTAGTTTGTAATAATGACCATCAGATGCAAGATGTGTTGTTCGGTGCCTCAGTGTAATCAATATAAAAAAGTACGAATTCATCAATACACAGCTTCTCCGCAGTTGCAAAATTATTCATTGTGGAGAACATTTCAAAAATTGGGAAACCTATCTCCAATTATATGTCTGTGTGTAGTGAGCACTACTCAGAAACCGATTAAGAAGGAAATTTCATATCAAGAAAATATTTTTATGTTCAATCTATTTTTAATGCATTTTTTCATTCAAGGGAAATGGAATCCTAATGCAAAAAGTTCATTTTGACAAAAGGCTTCAGAAAAGTACCTCGAAAAGAGTTTTTTACAGCGATTTAATGTGCGCAAGACGCGTTGAAAATGTTCTGTTCTGTCCATGAAAAGGCTTTAAAAAGAACTAGAAAGAAGTTAGTTTTGTGACATATCAAGGACATCTCGATAATTGCCGCCTGCGGCGGACATTGGCTGTTCTATAATAGTTCTATTCATGTGTGAACAGAACATCGCAGTGGAGGTTCAATGTCTCGAAATCTCGTACTCTTAACATCTCTGAGATGTTTTTGTGCTCGCTGGGTACGAGAGTCAATGCGATCTATACAGGGTTTCTCGAAATTACGTAGAAAGATTTCTAACACAGATTCTCTGTGAACAAAATTATTAAATGAAGTTCATACAAACATGGGTCCATAAATGGCCTTCTGGGAAGTTATAGCCCCCTGGAGAAGAGCCCGAGATGATGTTTTTATGCCCAATTTGAAAATGTTGAGAATTTTTTGAAATTTTGATCAGGAGAAGTTTAAAACTGAATGCTCTATCCTAGTGGGCTACTTATTCACTTGAAAAGTAAGGAATATACGAAATTATCTGTAATGATTGTGATGAAACATATATGGGCCATACTAGGCGTCCTATGAAAACAAGGTTCAAAGAACTCTACACTGTTTTACCACTAACCAAACCAATTTTTTAAACGCCTCGACACGTGTTTCCGCTAACTATGTTATGCTGCTTATATACCTAGTATAAAAGCAGCACACTAGAATAGGATATTTAGTTTCAATCTTCTCCTGAAGATGCTAACATAGTTAGCGAAACACGTGTAGAGGCGTTTAAAAAATCGGTTTGGTTAGTGGTAAAACAGTGTCGTGTATTATCCACTAAAACTATTCGAAAAGGGCTCTATTGGCGAAATATGACATTAGTGAATTCTTCAGCATTATGAAGATCGAACTAGAAAGTCCTATATCCTAAATTTCAGTACTTGGTAGGCCTTCCCGATTCAACAAAACCTCATGAAATCGGTTTGGCATAGATTCTATGAGGTTGTTGATGAAGTCTATTGATATTGCCTCCCATTCTTCTGATACAGCTTGGATAAGGTTGTCATTATTTTGGAATGCCTCTCGCCTTCTCGATAGGTTAAGTTTCATTCGGCTCCACACATGTTCAATCAAATTCAGATCTGGAGATAATGCTGGTCACCACATTCTTATAACATTAGTGTATTCTAGAGTTCGTAATTTGTCAGATGAGTTGTGAAACACTCAGTATATTGAACAACAATACTCTGTGTCTCATACTTCCCAGCGAGCACAAACATCCCTGGGATATTTTGGGATGTTTTGAAAATGTTGTCATGAAGATGTTATTTTGAGACGTAATATGCACTGACCAAAGAGGTCTTTGAAGGATATTGAAGTATTGTTTTTGTTCTTCTGTGGCATTTCTTTGTTTGCCTACTGAGAGGTATCCCTGGGATGTTTTGGGATGTTTTAGGAATGTAGGCATGAGGATGTTTTTTTGAGGCGTAATATAAACTTCCCAAAGAGGTCTTAGAAGGATATTGGAAGTATTATTTTTGTTCTTTTGTGCCCTTCCTTTGTTTGCCCCACCACAACGTCTCATATGCTTATACGTCACAATACGAGAATTCTGATTTGTTCTCGATTTTGTTCTTCTTGTTCGCAATTGGCATTCGCGTTTGCAGCGTGTCACGCTTACATCACGCTGCTAACGAACAGAAAGGAATTTGGTGAAGTTCATTATGTTAAAAGACTTATTTAGTATGCAATAATGACCTTCAGATGCAAGATGTGTTGTTCGGTGCCTCAGTGTAATCAATATATTAAAGTACGAATTCATCAATACACATATAGCTTCTCCGCAGTTGCAAAATTATGCATTGTGGAGAACATTTCATAAATTGAGAAACCCATTTCCAATTATATGTCTGTGTGTAGTAAGCACTACTCAGAAACCGATAAGGAAGGTAATTTCATATCAAGCAGATATTTTTATATTCAATCTATTTTTAATGCATTTTTTCATTCAAGGGAAATGGAATCCTAATGCAAAAGTTAATTTTGACAAAAGGCTTCAGAAAAGTACCTCGAAATGGTTTTTTACAGCGATTCAATGTGCGCAAGACGCGTTGAAAATGTTCTGTTATGTCACTTGTGTCCATGAAAAGGCTTCAAAGAGAACTAGGGAGAAGGTAGTTTTGTGACATATCAAGGACATCTCGATAATTGCCGCCTGCGGCGGACATTGGCTGTTCTATAATAGTTCTATTCATGTGTGAACAGAACATTGCAGTGGAAGTTCAATGTCTCGAAATCTCGTACTTTCAACATCTCTGAGAAGTTTTTGTATACTCGCTACAAGTTCGAATTGAAAATTTTCATCCTGTATTTATATTAGAGGCGAATTTTCGAAAACGTCTCGAGTTAATAGTCTAATATAAATAATGGATTTCGAGAAGGCCGTTTCAGAATATCCTACTGAATCGAATGGGCCATGGTTTTAGTCACCATTTTTGATTTTT